AGGAAAGCTATTATGGGGAGAAACTTGTAATTTCAAACACTAAGAACATTCTGCAACTCAGGTGAATAAGCTGGGTCCCTTTAAGAAAAATCATGACCCGACCCCCAGTGAACCTACATGATGCAAAACCGACCTTAGAGATCGGACTTCAGCAACCGTGCTAACTATTCCCTTGTCCAGGAGGCAAGGGAGCAGTACAGCTATTGTCTTCTGCCCAGCTGCTCCTTTGGAGGGATCGCACATTTTCACACAGACCTGGGGACAGGAGAGGATCAGTGTTGCAAGCATGTACAAACCTCCTGTGCTGATTACTTTGAAACAGCCTCTCTGTCAGACAGAAGAAGACAACAGCAACTAGAGCAGCTGCTCACAGCCAAACCCAGACTCTTACACCTTTCATTCTCCTCCCCAGGAGGAAGTACTCTTAAGCCTTAAGCCAGATCCCTAAAAGGAGTTTCAGCTATGATCAGCTGCCAGAAAACACAAATCCACAGCCTAGCAGGTCTTGATCTGCATCTGAAGAGACAGACCAAATGACATCTCAGTTGAGGGCCAGCCTATCTCAGCCACATGGATTCAACCATTCCAAAAGGCAGAGCAGCAAGTCACAGATCACAACAGATTTTGCAATTGCTGTGACGTTTTGGGACCAGATCACCACTTGTGCCACTGAAATGTCATGCTGCATGCATTATGAAGGTAGTGATTTCAAACACATCTCTTACAAACTGCTTCCATTTCCACTGATGTGACTTTTTTAGAGGGATATAAAACAAAATATTAAGTGATATGTGTACTATACCCAAAAAAACCCCTTCTGTCAGTAACAGCACCAGAGAGTGAAGTCCGGACTGGATTGCTTTGTTTCACACCAGTGAGGCTCCACTGGCTTGGTCAACTGGTGAAGTTACAGGAAGATTCCTTAAACCCCACCAAGTGGGGAAAAAATGACATTAGAGGAAAAAACCCAGTTCATTATATTCCTCCTTTGCTTGTACAGAACTTAACATCACATTATCCTCTAGCAGCAGAACTTCACCAGCATCAACAAAAGTACAGAGGAGTATGTGGCCAAGCTTATTATGATTGCTCTCCAGGGGACTGTTCTGTTTTTCAGAACTGCACCTTACACTAGGGAGGTTTTCAAGCAACAGTCTATGGTAAGCAGGTCATTCCTATGACAGGGAATGATTACTTGATATCAAAACCATACAATTCTCCATGTGCAAATAATGAAATTAGAGTTTTACCTTGCTTAAAGTTTTTAGAGCTAGTTCTGCTGCCTTTCGCACAGTCTCCTGAAAAAGAAGCCAACAATCCATTGTTACTGTTTTTAAATCTTCTACAGAATGATTCATGTTAATTCATAAATACAACAGTAGTACTGACAAGGCCACATTCATGGCTAATATTTAATACAATATCTTTCAAGGAATTTTTGGCTTTGGTCCTTCTAAGTGTCTCATCTACTCAGTGACAAATACATTAACAATCCTGCCTGGCATCACCAGGTTCTCTGTGCTTCTGTTCACATTTGTCCCTGTGATACTATTTTATAGGTTGTCCTTTTCAAAACAAACGAATAAAAAACACCCAAAATACCTCAAACCACAAAAAATGCCAAACAATAAAACTCAAAACCAAACGCCCCAAAAAACAATGGAACCTTCTACTGCAAAAAGAAGTACATAGTGCTTTGGGTATGCTTTACCCCCTCCTCAATATAATGCCTGCTGCTCAGCGTTCCTTTACTCCACTGAATGTCTAGGACTAGAGAAAGATGGACTAAAAGCAAACAATAAATAGTGCAGCTCTGGTGGCACATGACACCATCATCAACTAGGCTCTTTAACTTGTATTGACGAACTAAGCAATATCTAGCAATATTCCTGGGTACTGAAAGACAGTCAGCTGGATGGGTAATGTCTTGGAAAAAAATGTGACCTGCCACAAGTAGACCTTCTGCAGAGAGAGAGAAAAAGTTAGTCACAAAGTCCAAGTCATGTACACCATGTAGCTGCATGCCTGGAAGCATGAAACTCAGCACTAGAGGAGGTGACAACCATCACTGGATCCATATCTGGTGTTATCTGGATGCCTGGAGGAGTGTGAAATGGGTCCCAGTCCCCCATTTCTTTCCGCCCCAAACAAAGGAGCCATTACCTCTACCCATGCAGGTGTGAATTAACGGACTTTGTGACATTAACATAACTGGTAAGATTGTCTATAGTCATCCCCACCTGCAGGTATGCCCTGGTGATGTAATACAGAAATTTGAGTGATAACTAAAGACAAACACCTCAGGCGGTCTAATCCACTCAGACACCCTCCTGCCTGCTGTCAGGTACATCAGGGGATGAAAACCCTAGGATTCAGGCTAGAAAGGGGGAGTTACTTCTCCAGCCATGGAGTGATGAGAATCTTCCCCCTTGGTCGGAATGCTGGCCAAGGTAACTTACATGGGAGCCCTTACTTGGGGAGACAGGATGAACTTGGAACCACACAGATGAACTGGACAGATTAACGAATTCACTCC